AAAAAAATACTTATCTTAATTACAGAGAACAAAAATACAGGGAAAAATAATACTTAAAACAAGAAAAAAATTTTCTGATTTCAACTCCTTTTACTGCTTTTGAAAGAAATTAATGAATTCGGGAACATTGTGGTTAAATTGTAGACTGAATGGTAAATATGTTTGTTGTTGAGAAGCCTACAATAATTAGTTTCTCTATATTTTTCTAATTATAAATAATAAATGTATTTTAACGTATTAGACTGAAAAGGTTAAAAGACTAATAATGCATACAGTAATAATTATTTTTACTATCAAAACAAAGCACTCCTATGAGAAAGAATGTCATTTGTTTCTTCAGAGTAAGATACATATGATCCTCCAGTTAACTTTTTTCATAAACCTTAGCTATAGTTCACATTACTGTAGAATGAATTCAGAAATAAAATGACTTGCTCAAAGTAATTGAACATTTTTAAAGCTCTTGATATTTCCAATTGTATTGGCTTCTATATCCACTAGTAGGGTGTGGTTGTGTTAATCTACATTTTCATTTTTTTAGATGATAGGATAAATGGTATTTTAGAAGTTTGATTTATTTTTATTCATTTGGTTATTAATGACAGTCCAATAACAGAATGAAGTCCAACAACACAGGTTTATTTGATGGTGCATACAATATATTATAACCTTTGAAAGAAGGGTACAGAGGAATCCATGATTTTTGAAATGCTGATAGGATCATTAAATGAGTTCAGTGGCTATCACCTTTTTTAAATGTAAACTAGAGTAAAATAAAAGCTATTTTTAAGTATTGTTTCAGGAGACTTTTAATTATATTTATGTATACTTGTATATACAATTCCTGCATCTCAGTGTAAAATTAGTTTTTCACTATGGTTTATGGTAAAAAGAAATTTTGAGAAATGCTATTGGGAAGCTTTATTTTTTCATATGAAAGTACAAACCATACTACAAAAAAAAGGCAAGGTATAAAACATCAGGATTCCATTTTAAATACAGACATAGATGTTCATATGTGAAAATACACAAAATGTCCATTGAGTTATACCAAAATAGTATATTTTATTTTCTATTTTATTATGCAGAGAAGGACAAGCCATTATTTTTGTCATTGATAGTAGTGATAGACTCAGAATGGTTGTGGCCAAAGAAGAGCTTGATACTCTTCTGAATCATCCAGGTATGTCTGTCTTTCAGTCTGTGATCTCTGTGTTTTAGGATCTATTTATGTATGTTGTTTTGTTATTAGATAAAAAACCAAAACTGTTGCTTATACTGTCTAATTATATTTTATTTAAAATTCTTGAATTTTAAAATGTGCTAGTTATACAAAATTTAGAATAGCTTTATGTCATCATATTGTTTAAATTTCAAAGCTCTTTGCAATGTTTTCTGAGTCTCTAACATTTATTTCCACAAGAACAAAAATGTCATGTCAAACACAGTGGCCCATGCCTGTAGACCCAGCTACTTAAGAAACTTAGACAGGAAAATCTCAAATTCAAGTCTAGCCTTGGCAACATAGTGAGACCCTGTCTGAAATAAAGTAAAAAAAAAAATGCCCTTCTTTCCCAATTACATAAATAATATGTGCCAACAGAAAAAAAATGAAACAGAAAAAGAATAAAGTAAAAAATCTATATATTTCAACAGCCATTAAAATTAATTTGGTTACTTTTTTTAGATGTATCACTCCTTGTGTATCTGAATTTGTGAGTGTGTGTGTATTATGGTTTGGATGTAATATGTCTCCTAGAAGCTCACATGTGAGACAATCAGTGAATTAATCCCAATAGGGATTAACTGAGTGGTAACTGAAGTGGTAGGGTGTGACTAGAGGAGGTGGGAATTAGGCCATGGCTTTTAGGTATTTGGCAAGTGAAATTCTCTCTGCTTTCTGATATTGATGTGAGCTGCTTCCCTCGGCACATCCTTCTGCTATGGTGCTCTGCCTCACCTAGAGCCTCAAGGAATGGAGCCAACCTTCTATAGACTAAGACCTCTGAAACCATGAGCCTTAAATAAACCTTTCCTCCTTTACAATTGTGCTGCTCATATCATTTAGCAGCATATAAAACAGGTGTGTGTGTCTGTGTGTGTGTGTGTGTGTGTGTGTGTATGATCACAGAATTTCTTACATATTTATTGTGGATATTCTTTTAAAACAAATCTTTTTTGTTTTTAATCTCCAACTGCCAGCTCCCCACCCCTTTTTAACAGACTAGTATTAACAACTTGATATTTTTTCATTCATATTTTTTAAATGTGTCGTGTGTATGCATGTATGAACACACACACACACACATAAAAATATATCTATGTAGATTCCAAAGATATCTGTAAGATTGAGGGCTATTGGGGCTATTGTTGTTTACCAAAATGGGATCATATTTATTAGACTCTTTTGCATCTTCCCATTTTCAACACTACATGATGGAAATACTTCCAAGTCAAATTGTATGATTATGTGATCTTTTTAAAGATCCTTAATATTATGTACTATGAGTATACCATAATTTATTCAGTGACTTACCTATTGATGGATATTTTTCCCTTCCCTTTCCCCTATTACAAATAATTCTCCAGTATATTATGAAATTCTAAATTTCTAGACTTATTCATGTCAAAAAGGTTTTAAGTAATCCTTGTGCTAGGAGTTTTAGAAGAGAAGGGTGTTTTTAAAAAACTGTACATTTGTTAGAAATAGAATAGGAATACTGTAGAGCTTTCCAACCTTCTTGCTAAGCTAGGGACATAGTTCAGTGGTAGAGCACTTGCCTAGGATGCAGAAGGTCCTGTGTTTGATCCCCAGCATTGCAAAACTTAAATACATAAATAACAAATCTTGCTGCTTAACTAGAATATCTTTGGTGTTTTTATATGATGATCTCAAAATTATTCAAAAAATTTTTTAATTACCTATCCTATATCATTTATGTATCATTTCCACTTTTAAAGCTTTTTAGTTTTGATCTGTGTTGAGGAGGCATTTTTGATCAGCTGTTTCCTTTTTATTGATCTTTCTACCTATCCCTGCAAAGTTGTTGACTAATAAAATGAAATAGTTCTTAACAAAATCTGCCTCAAACACAATGGGAACCTTAGATTCTTGAACCAAAGCTTTGTCTGTATACCTTTTGTACTGATTAATTTAATTTATGGTATAGATTTTCAGGGGTGAGATTTCTCAGCTGAAATGCATATGAATCATTTTTTTAATGAAAGACATAAAAAATCTTTGAAGAGGAAAATAATGTATCATGAATGCTCAAAAGTCATTATGGACAAGGGAAAATATTTTCAACTAATATAATAGCTATAGGGCAAACTACTTGTGTTCCTACAAATCAGTAAGAAAATAAAAAATTAAATGAAAACAGAGAAAGGCAATGAATTATCCAGATATAAGTGTAGCTAGTTCAACAGAAAAGGTACATTTAACATCTTTTGTAAATATTATAAGATTCGTGGCTTTTCTCAAAAAAATACAAATGAACACATTGGGTTCATACTTTTTACTAATCATATAGTATATGGAAAAGATTTTAAAATTTTGGTAATTCTTTTTTGTCTAGGGAATGGAAACCTTTAATTTTATAAACTGTTGCTGAAGATTGATAGAGATTTAAGGAAAGATAGCCTTTGTTTAAAAATACTATCTATCAAAAAACAGCAATTTCCATGTCCTTTGACCTAGCAATTCCACTATCATATTTATTCTGTGGGAATAAATATGATAGTGGAATTATATCCAAATGTATTAATTGCAGCATTGTTTGGGCTGGAGTTGTGGCTCAGTGGTAAAGTGCTCGCCTGGTATGTGTGAGGCACTGGGTTCCATACTCAGTATGTAAAGAAAATAAAGGTATTGTGTCCATCTACAACTAAAAATATATAAATAAATAAAAAGATTAGTAACAAATACATTACACTTTTACATTTAATTAAATAAATTATGTTGCATAGTACTAGAAGACAAAATGTAACAAGCAATATATTTGAACCTTTTGTATAGATTCTTCTTCGTAACCGCTCATTGAGTCCCCTTCTCCAACCTCATCTATCTTTGGTTTAAAGCTTCTAACCAGAAGGCAGATGGTCTTAGGAAGAAATATCAATAAAATTTTCTTTTTGCTCAAATACATGCTTGAAAGTATGTGTCTTTAAATGTTTATCATGTGTCATATAGAACGAATTAACTGGAAAACAATTTATTTTATTTTAATTTTAAGAATTTGGTGCAAGGTGACCCCATAAGCTGAACTTGTAAGATAGTCTTCTTTTCTCTTTTAGATATTAAACACCGTCGAATTCCAATCTTATTCTTTGCAAACAAAATGGATCTTAGAGATGCAGTGACATCTGTAAAAGTGTCTCAGTTGCTGTGTTTAGAGAACATCAAAGATAAACCATGGCATATTTGGTAAAGTTTTATATTTACTTTATTTATCATTCTGAAAGATATCCAAGCTTCATTGTTTTGTTTCTGATCTCATTTTATAAATGACCAAGCAGAGTACTATGTAAAGTAAGGATTTGTTTTACAGAATTGTGGCAATGCAGATATTCAGAAATATATTACTGTTAAAACCCTTTTAAATCCTTTTGGAGATAGAAAAATGTAAACACTATTATGATGGAATAATTTAAGTAGCCACTTATTCACCTGACTTCAACCACAGTGATTTCCTTCTGTATGTGGAAACATTCAACCATAATCCCATCTCAGGGCATTTGTACTTGTATAGTCTCACCTCTCCCCCATCTGAATCATTCTTCAAAATATTTTTTCTGGCTTGCTGTGGTACTTCCTTTAGGACACCATATGACCTCTATTGTTTGTTTGTTTATTTTTAACTTGTTTTCTTATACTAATAAGTTCCGTAAGAGTTGAGATTTTGTCATTTTCTTTTTTCTTCTTCTGTAACCTCTGAAATAGTGATAGTACCTGGTAAATAATAGATACACAATAAATATTTGTTAAAATGAATAAATAGAAATAACAATTTTATTTGGACAAACTAATAAAGTTGAAATCTCAAATGATTAATATCTGAAATTATTATGCATTATTTGGAAAACAATTTCTTACTAATATATTATATATCTTTCTGTTAAAATGTATCAAAAATAATAACTAGAGGTTATATATTATTAGATAGTGTTAGTACCATCCACTCCTTTCTACCTACCACCCACTTACCTTTCCCTGCTGCAAGATGACCTTCTCTTACCAGAGTTTTCTCCTTTTTATAAGAGTTACAGAGACTAAAGGGAAAGGTTGAACACCAAAGTAGAGAAGAGGGAGTAAAATAAGAAGCAAGAATGTAGTAGAGCTTACATTAAGAGCTAGCCTTGGTGCTGAATGAGTAATTATATTTCCCCATATTACAGATGTTAAAATTAAAGACAAAGTGTTAAGTAACCTAGCCAAGTACATGCAGCTCATAAATATAAAATTGTGATTGAAATCTACTGGGCTTCTATTCTATTCTACCAGCTTATCAAAGTTATAATTATGGGTTATAGATATCAGGTTACATTTCAAATAAAGTAACTCTTGTCATGTAGCTGTTTTACAGCCTAAGTCAAGCATTGTGTGTGTGTGTGTGTGTGTGTGTGTGTGTGTATGTGTGTGTATGGTGCTGGGGATTAAACCCAGGGCTTTGTGCATGCAGGGCAAGCACTCTACCAACTGAGCTATATCCCCAACCCAATTCAAGCATTTATTTTTTTTTGTAAGTAGCTGTTATTGAACCTTCAAGGCTAATTGAAGTAGGATGGTAACTCTACAAACTTTACCACCACTGGAAGAATAACTCAAAGTTTACATATTGTTAATGTAAGTCTAAGTACTATTCTTAGAATAACTTTAGTGATATACTTTTCAGAGTATCTATATAAATTATGAAAATGTTTTTCATGTCTTGGTTCTGAGCCCTCAGTCTTTAATTTCTGATTTATATTCAGTGTCATTTCTTAACTGGTTTTCCTTAAGTATATATTACTAGAATGTATTAATTTGTCAATGGAAAAATTGTAATTTTTTATTCTTACAGTTCATTATGTAATGAAATGGATTTGTTTCTTATGGATTTTATTTCAGTGCTAGTGATGCCATAAAAGGAGAAGGATTGCAAGAAGGTGTAGACTGGCTTCAAGGTACATCACAAAGTACTGTGTATCCTCAGCCTTTGCTTCTTTTCCACTCATATAATTTTCTTGTCTACATTTTATTTTTATTATATCATTGCCTTTTTCCTCTTGTTTCCATCTGTTTCTGCTATCAGAAAAAACAGTACAGTAAGTATCCAATAGTTTGCTCCATTTACTTTTACACTTTAAGTTTCATATGTTATTTAAAGTGTTTGCCTCTTTATAATCAATATATATGACAAATCTAGAAAATAATTTTAATTTATGACACCGAATTTCCATTAGAGCTAATAATTGAAGCACATTTGAAGTTTGGTATGATTATTGGGCTTCATTGTCAATAACTAAAAATAAGTGTGAATGACATGTATCTTCTAAGAATCAGGCTATAAATACTCCATGTGTAGCTTCATTTATATATAAAATGTATATAGAACTTTTAACACATGTTGAGTATTATAAATACTGCTATTCTATGATGCTTTATGTATTTGTAGTTCTGTTTGTTATTCACCAAAACAGTTATCATAGGTTGATGCTAGCCAATTATATTGGGGAATAAATTAAGATACATAATTTCCCTAATGTTACATTATATACTAGCCACATAAATACCTTGATGCATGTAAAACAAGAAGATAAGTCCATGAAGCCAAGTTCTATAGGTATTTATTGCATAATCTTGACAACCAGGTCAAAAGTTTTTTTTTTTAAATAGAACAACTAAGATCATTCTTAAGGGGAATCTTACTCTGAATAAAGGTAAATAACAAGATATAAATTCTAATTATTGTTTTTTGGTTATAAATTCTGATTTCTTCTACAGTGATCTTCTACATATTGGGAAAAAAATAGCAAGGATCTAGCACATATACACCCACTAAGTTAGATTCTTAGATTATGGTAAAGGAAATGGTCAAGATAATGGGATGAATTCCCACCACAAACTGATGGAGGTCAGATGAAAATCCAGAGAATGTATCAAAAGCATATTTTCATCCCTCATTTCTTACTTCACAAGTTCTTACTGTTATAGTGAAGATATTATAGAATAGAAACCCTATGATCAATCCTAATAAAGTTATTCAGAACATAGTACTTAACTGAAAATTAGTTTGTATTCATCTAGATTTTAAGTTAAGCTCTTAGGCCCTTCCCACCCACCTTGGCTTTATTTTGTCTGTAGCAATCAGGCCACTAGGTGTCAGTAAAGATCCAACATCATAGTACCAACTGCCAACTCCTCTTGACACCAAATTTTTGTTTCTTTGACTTTTCTCTCACCCATTAACTGTCTTAACTTCCAAGTCTTATGAAGGACACATTATTGGAAATGCTTTTGTGTCCTTTTGTTATCATCTTACTTTATGTTCTCTTTACAACAGTCTTCACAAGGTAAGTGGTAGTATCGCTATTGTCTCTAAGCAGCATGAAACACTAGTAAAACACAGTGGGGCTCTTCAGTCTAGTAGATTTATTCCCCTATTTATTAATTAACCTCTTCACCTATTAGCTAACATCTCTTAGTGTCTTATGAAGATAATTTTCTTCATCTGTAAAGTTTTAAAATGTCATAAATTATACAAATTAATTATATATTGTCTCTGTTAAAGTACTAAAGAAGTCAGTGAATGTTAAATTTACTCTTTTACCTAACTACACTATTTAACAGAGGTATAAATTAATAAATATGTAGATAAAAAATAAAAATAAATATATCAGTTTGGTTTAAAAAGATTCTTTGTTCATATTTCTTATATAATAATAAATAGTTTGCATTTTGATGTTCCCACTTATATCCCTCTATTTGAAGAGATGAAATCCTATCTTGCAAAATAAATAATAGTAAATGCAAGAGACTAGTCTGTAATTGTTAAATCATTAGCTAGAAACATTTATATAAATCTAACTATGAAAAATGTTTTGAACTTTGATCTCTTCATTTTGCTTTTAGAATCTGAAATTTCCTATCATGATAAACAAAAAGACTTCTGGTTCATTTTGGACCAATTTCATCTCATTATTTTAAGCTAAAATTTAGAAACATTTTTGTGAAATACTAAATGTTGCATATTCTATGACTCTATTCTCTTTTGGAAAGAATCTCATTACTTAAGCACGTATAACCACCCAAAGACAACCCTTGAGTAGAATATGAAGTGTTTTTTTAATCCTCCAGAAAATATAACTGAGCAATAAGTTTTCTAGCTTTGAAACTTTGAATAATGCTTAAAGATTATAAACCTTTTTGTTTTGTTTTATTTTGTTTTTGTGGTGTTGGTATTTAAACCCCAGAGCCTCATACATGGTAGACAAGCATGCTACCTTTGAGCCATATCCCCATTCTACTTCTAGATTTTAACATTAAGCTGTTATAAACTATGCATCTGGAAACTCCAGTGAAAAACAGAAGATAGAACACATACACAGTTTTATTCCCAAATCTCACTAACAATAAAGGGAACTTTTAAAAAGACATTAACCTATGTGGGCAAAATGAATGCAAGTGGTGAAAAGAACAACTGAATTTTGGAAGGTGAATCTGATGGATGTTGATTGAATTAACAGATCTCAGAAAGCTGAATCCCAAATTAGTACTGGGGAATGCTGGAAGGCAGCCTAATTTGCTTTGCAGATCCTCTTGAAAGCTCAGAAATTGGTGGAAATTTAAAATAAGGATGAAAATGAAATTGAAGAGAGAAGATATGGCTATATATCCTTCCCACAAAGAAGTTTGAAGGAATATCTGTATGGAAGTCAAGCAGAATATCTTTGGACTAGAAAACACCAGACTTAAATGTGTATGGTAATGCTGAAGTGAAAGTGAGAAGTGACTAAAAGTTTTCATATCAAATATTGTAATTCTATCTTCTACTTTTCCCAGGAAACACTGGAGGTAGGCAAAAAATAGGAAAATTCATCTTTAAGGAATTAGACCAATGTAATGAAAAAACCTAAAGGTATTAATATTGGAGATTCCCACAGAAATGACTTAGCCAGACACTATAGTGAAGACCATATTTGACAAGATCCTCATTCCTCACACATTTCCAAATTCCAGTGTGCTTTCTTAGTGTTCACATGTACGTATGAACAAGTGGCAATGATCACCAGACATGAGGATGAAAGCATTGTGAAATATGGGAATGTAAAAAAAACAAGAAAAGCAGGTTAGAGGACTTAGAACTTAGAACATTTTGAAAAACCATTAAGTCTCCTCAAATAGATAAGATGCTGTCTTCATGAATAGGACCAGGATACTACTTCTTGATAAGAAACAAAAAACAAACAAAAAAATGATCCTTGGAAAATAAGAATAGAATAGAAAAAAATGGAAAACTCAACAAAAAATAAATAAAATAGAGGCAATTTCCCAGAAAACATCAAAAGGATGAAGATTTGGAAATTGAAAAAAGAAAAAAGGGGTCATGTTTATAAGGCCCAGTATTCAACTAAGAAGAAAGTCAGAAAAAGAGAACAGAGAAAATAAAAGAGTAGCAAATCATCAGATAGAGCTTTATCAGAACTGAGTGATGAGTTTGCAGTTGAAAGTCCTTTTGAAAGCCCAGTGTAATGGATGAAATAATCCCCATCAAGGTGCATTGTTTATGAAATTCAGCCCTGATAATAATAGAAGATTCTGCAAGCTTCCTAAGGAAAAATAAATAAAAGCATTTTCCTATAAGGATAAATAGAATAGCATCAGACTTCTCAAAAACAACAATTTAGAAGCTATAACAAAAAGTTCATGGAGAAAATATTCTCAGAACAATATCAACATATTGTGACAACAGAATAAAGACATCTTTGATTGTATAAAGTCTAGTATTGAAAGGAGTAGTCTTCAAAAACAAGAGAAAAAATCAAGAAGAGAAAAATAAGGAACATTGAAACAGAATAGGGGAAGGAATCTCATTTGTTAATAGATATTCTAGAATAATAATGAAAGGAAATCTCAGACTAATTGACAGGAAGAGAGAACAGCTGGTCTACTTTGGAGAATTTTGTAGGACTCCAGGGAAGAATTCTTCAAGATGAATATAATGCAAAGTGCTTCATAATAACAAAGATTTAAACTAGAAGTATTGGGATTGGATTATTGTTAAAACATACATTTTTAAAAACCTAGATGGGTTAATGTGAAGGTGGGAAGTCAAGTTACTACCTTGAAAGAAAACAATATAGTTGAGGAAAAGACAACTAACCAGAGTGTACCACCTAAATCAGCTGTGCATAAAATTTATATAGTCATATTGATAATGACTGTATCACTATGTTAAATTGATGGGAGTAGTAGAAATACAGTGAGGGTACAGAAGAGCAGTATGAAAGTGTAAGAACTGAAGCCTCATTATTACATTACTTTCAAGAATTAATATTAAAGTGTACTTAGAAATATATAAACGATCATCTAAAAAGAGCTGCAAGTACTCGATTCTATAAAGGGGAAAGAAAGATGAAGCAAGAAGCTGCTATTTTTCAAACAAGCCTTATAGAACTAGTTGATTCATTAACCATTTGTATGTACAACTTTGATTTTAAAAATATAACTATAGTATGAATTGTGTAAGAAAAACATGTACACATAGGGTTTTACCATGTTACACACATTTTTTATATTTACTTTAGAAAAGATTTTTGTCCTTCAGAAACTAATAATTCTTGTTTGTTTTTTGTTATCAGATCAGATCCAGTCTGTGAAGACATGAAAAGATAGGATCTAGAAACCTCAACAATTTTGAATCCAAGGAATATATTTAATATAAACTAAGTACTTTAAAATCTTTTAAAGGTGTGTGTGCATCCAGGAATACTTTATAATATTCTGTTTGCATTAATGGACTTTGAAGAACTTTTTAAGACCATAGGAATTTCAGGTATGCTAATCTGGCTATTTGTTACATAAAAACTAAATCTTTCCTTAAAAGGAATCCCTAGAATTATCAACTTTTTGGTAAAGATCTACATTTGATTGTAATCAGAATGTTTGAAAAAGTTATGAGCCATCTCAATATCCCATCATGATTTATGATCTTTAATGTATTTTATTTTTGTCTTTTTAAATATGTAGTTTATGGTATGATTTTGCAGTATGAATTGTGCTTTTGAAAATAGCTTTAAATATTTATAAAGGACCATGGATAATTAATATATATATTAATTTTTTAGTATGTGTCACTATCAATAAAACAAAAAAGGCAGTTTACCAACTTGCATGGTTTGTTTTTGCTGAAAAAAAATAATATTGTGTAATGTGGTATTTGGTGTTTTACTGCCAACATTTGCACATAATCTGAGGCCAAGATAAACAAATTTTTTTTATTCAATGTGTTTTAGATATCTCTACCCTGAACAGTCAGGCATAGTCCCAAGACAATGGTGATACAAAATACATTAAGTCATTCCTTATTTTCACAGAACTTAAAATATAATGAGGGAGAATCTGAGCACCTTTTCAAACATGGCAAATAATTTCATTTTATTAGCTGAATGAAAATATTACATCTTTAGATTTAAAGTAAAACAGTAAATTAATGTTGGACTTTAACAATTATCATAAGTTGTTTTTTCCTTTAAAATGCCTCTGTGTTGGTCACTTTTCTGTTACTGTAACAAAATTCCTGAGATAATCAATTTTTTAAAAAGGAATAGTTTATTTTGACTCACAGTTTTGGAAATTTCAGTCAGTGACTAGCTCCATTGCTTTTGGGCCTGTGTCAGAGCATCATAAGGGGAGCATGCCACAGAAGCTACTCACCTTATGGAAGCTCCGAAGCAAGAGAGTAAGAGGAGAATCTCTGGTCCCAGTATCAAGTGCACACCCAGAAGGACAGGACCTCACTTCCTTTCCCTATGCCTCACCTTCAAAGGTTCTTCTACCTCCCAGTGGCACCATGGTCTGAGTTCTAAGCCTTCAATACAGGGGCCAATGGGAGACATTTGAGATACAAACAATAGCAGCCTCCAAACAACTATAGTAGTACCTTGTTAAAATATGCCTACACAGACTTGAAAGTAAGCTGCTATATAAATGTTCTTTGGAATTTTGGACATCTCAAGCACACCAGTTGTGTTACTTTTCACAACTTAAAGACCACTTAAATTGTGAACTATAAATAGAAGATTTTGTTTTAAATTAATCACTGAGAAACAGTTCATAAGTCAGTGGTGTCAATCCTGAAAACATTAAATATAAAGAAAAACAATGGAATGTATAGTATCTTAAATTTCCTTAGCTATGAGAATGATAAAAACAGAAAGAAATACAGAGGGTTAATAATACCAATGTGTTTTAGTAACCACAATAGTGATTTTTTTTAACAGAATTCTTACTAACTTTAAAACTACAGTAAAAGTTCTATAATACAGTTTCTCAAAATCCAAAAATACCAGCAATCTTATATTTGTCAAACTGAAAGTTATTCAGAATATTCCAATGGTCCAACATTTTGCCAGCATCTCATAAATTTTTTGATAAGGATAAAAATGATCATTGATCTAGAGTTGCCTCAAATATAGAAAAGACATTATGATGAAAATACTGAATGTGATTTTTTAAAAAATGATATAACTAATTTACAGGATAGAAAAAGACATTCAAATCCTCACCTACCATAAGAAATAGGAACATGCGCTGGGGTTTGTGCTCAGTGGTAGAACATTTGCCTAGCGTGTGTGAAGCTGTAAGGTGCTAGGTTTGATTCTTAGCACCACATACAAATAAATAAAAATAAGTGTCCATTGACAACTAAAATATATATTATATTGTATAATTATATAATATATATAATTAAAAAGAAAATAGTAACAACAGTAATAATTATCACTATAGGAATACAAAATCATGAATCAAATATTATTACACATTCAGAATTTTACACTATTTAATCCTCACAATAACTTTATGTGGTTAAGTTCTGTTATTTGTTATATGGATTAGGAAACTAGAACTTAAAGTGGTTATGTAACTTGCTGCAGGTCACAACTAGTAAATGGTGTCACTGAAATTCAGTACCCCACAATCTGTTTAAGAGGGATGAGTCAAGAGAATTAGTATAGGTATTAGAAGTACAGATTTATCTGCCCCCAAAAATGACTAAAATGTCTGAGAAGACCAGGATGGAGCCATACTATGAAGGTCAGAGGCCAGGGACTACTGTCTGTTTTTCACTTTTTTCTTTTGTTTGTTTGGTGGTGCTGGGGATCGAACCCAGGGCTTTGTGCATGCTAGGCAAGCACTCTACCAACTGAGCTATTTCCCCAACCCTCACTTTTTTCCTTTTTGTTTTAAGACTATTAATATTATTTATATTTTAAACTCTGAGAGTAAATGACTTTGATAAAAATAATTCTCAAAGCTATTTTGATGCTAAGTTAATTCTCTACAAGCTATGTTAACTGAAACTGTTATGTGTGTTTTTTCAGAAGGAGGAAAAGTACTGACTCTTATTTCTATGATCTCCAAGATCTAGGTTATAGTTTACAAATATCTATTCCTTATCTACATTTTTGTGTAGAAATTCTGTAGAAGTAAGTTGAGTAACAATACAGATGTGTGTACAAGCCAAAATTATTGCATTTCTATTTAGCATATAACTAAAATGTACCTTATAAAAGCTGAAACAAGTTTTTTTTTCATGTTTGGACACCACTATATTATAAAGTTTAGTTCATTAAGCTCTGCATTTGAATATAAGACCTTGTAAAATGTTCAAATGTTTTACATTTAAATATTTGTATGTGGCCTTACTAAGCCTGTGTTTTATGAATAACAAAAGGGCTGAGTTTTATATATTTGTTTTCTATTTAGAAACTGTCTACTAAAAATAATGGATTATCCTCTAATTGCTTTAAGATTTTTTTCCCCCTTAATATTTTGGCACACAAGTGTTGTGTTATATGCAGTTATCCTTGAGAATACTTGTCTTAGTTTCAGCTACTATAACACAGTACCATGGACTTGGTGGTTGATAAAGTGGGAAAATTTTACTTCCCACTATTCTGAAGGCTGGAAGTCTGAGATCAGAGTGCCAACATTATAAAGTCTTGGTGAGAGCCCTCTTCCCATTACAGAGTTCTTCTCATGTGGTAGAAAAAGGCAAGAGAACTCTTTGGGTCCCTTTTATCAGGGCATTAACTCTATTATATCCTTATGTGACTCCACCCTATAACCTAATTACCTCCCAAAGGCCCTACCTCCTAATATCACATTTGAGGTTGGGATTTCAAAATAGGAAATTTGGAAGAATACAAACATTCAGTCTGTTTTAATACTTAAGGCAAATTCATCAGTTGACATTGTGCATATTTTCTGTTTTCTGATTATTCTGTCATTTCTGAGTTTAAAAAATAAATGACTGATTCTAGAAGTTCACCTAAATGAATAGGTGTGTATACTTTGGCTGGAGGGCAATACTGTAGTGACTGAGAAATTATTCTGTGTTTAATTGAATGTTTTAGGTAATATAGTTATTGCATTTTTATAGTGAATCTTAGTATGGATGTTTCTGCTCAGGTTTGTAAGGGTTACTTCAGAATCATTACTTTGTTTTGATCACTTAGTTTTAATGCCACATTTAGGGGCTTCATCAATTAGAAATGTCAAGCTTTCTGGCATTTGGAATAAATCAGGAAAGACAAATTCCTTCTTCAAATTTCAAGTCACCAAGCAATATGAGAAGATATCCAGGAATAGTAGTTATCTTAAAATAAAATTTGTTTAGAAATATAATAATGATAAATATCTTTATAATTTTTGCTATTTGTACTTTGTAAACACCTTACATATATTAATTCAATTAATTCATTTAATCATCATATCAACCCTGTAAAGTAAATGCTCTTATTATCTGTCTTATATGGATCAGGGGTCAGCAAACTGTTAACCTATTTTTGCATGGTCTTTGAGCTAATCATGATTTCATATATGTAAAGGATTATATTAAAAAAGGAGAAGGAGCATCAGAGAGTGTGTATGGCCCATAAAGCCTAAAATGTTTACTGTACAGATCTTTTGCACAAAAACTTTGCTGAACTCTTAATATTGAAAATGAGGCAAGATAGGTTAAGTAATATGTTTAAGTTCATGCTGCAAACATATTGGAAAACCTGGGTTTATAGTCTAGAAGATCTGGCACCAAATTTATGTGTTCTTAATCTCTATATGATTTCTCAAAACAGCTAAAGACTAACCTAAAATGTAATAGGGTAATTTGAAATTACTTATTAAATAATTACTAAAAATGAAACATTAGGTACCAACCAATGGCTTGAAAGTAATGTTCTTTGAAACCTCCTTTCCCCCTTCCCCATAAGATTGATAGGCAAGTCTTTGCCCTGTACAGTCATTTTCCTTCCTTTTCTTTAAATGGGTGGCAAGAGATTGACGGATTGTGAAGCATCAGATTGTCCCCAAGGATCTGGCTTAGACTTCCAGGTTTCCCCAATAATCTTATTTTGAGATAAATGATAACTAGTGTTGATGGTCTTGAAATATGTATAATAGAATGTGGAAACATTTATAATTCAGTTTGTACATATTAAGTTATGTGATCATAAGTAACAACTATAACTAAAAATATTTTCTTAATTACAAACATAGTTAATGCTTTTGTTCTCTCTATACACTTCTTGGCCCCAGACATGAGAATTCTTTCTCAGGAAACATGCAGCAGAGTAGAGTACACAAAATGCCAACTTTCTTGCCAGAGGATCAGAAAGGGGAGATCCTCAATATAAACCTGTGTCCCAAACTTTGAAAACTAAGCTACAAAATAGACTCTGACTCAAGTTCAAGATTGGCCCCTGGGCGGCATACATATGGGCTAGATAGGAACAAAAATGCAAACGTTTGAAAACATAAAATTGAAACAAATCCTTACAAGACTTGTAACTTTAGGCCTAAACCCAACCAGGTTGAACTCCTACTAAAATCATCAGCATCTCTATAGAATTTAAACAAGATTTAGACTCAAAATTATATTCCAGAGGTCAAGAAGAAAATCCAAAATATCTAAGTATACAAAAATCAGAGGGGAAAAATGACATAGGCAAAGAAAAGGCAATGTCAGGTAATACAGATCTTAGAAATATCTGACAAAGACTTTAAAACAGGTATTATAAAAATGCTCAAAGTGTAAACATATGGAGAGGTAAAAAGTCTCAGCATAAAACTGGAAGAAATGAATGAAAAGTTTAGAACTGA